TACTTTATTCTTTTCATACCTGCCCTCCTCTCAAATCAAGTTACGTTCTTTTCCGTCAATTTCAGCAAAGTCTCGACTTCCATGTAAAGAGGTCATTTATTTACCTTAAGCATATTTTTAAGCTAAAGGAGTGCGGGGCCTGTAGGATAGCAAAATTTGCCACCCCAAAATGTGTCTCTTTAGCATGTGGAATACTTCAAGCTGAAAACAATCAAGGCCCAAAAGACTCAGGAAGAACCTATGACCTTCCCCCTAAGCACCTAAAAGAATTTAGATGGAATACATGCTCCAGCAAGGGAGCTATCATCACAGATAATTATAGCTTAATGTGAACTAGTGTGTGATAGACAGGGAGGGACCTAGCAAGGCCCATTTGGTCAAAGTCCTCTCTGTGTCCCACTCTTTCTGTATGGCCCAGCAAACACCGGTTTATTAAAAGTTAATACTTTTCATCTTCCCGTGAATTGCCTTATTTCCCTTTAAAGTTCCAGACCTGTCCTTTCTCCTTAGTCCAGAATGACACAAATACCTCATTTTGCCTCACTGTCTTTGGAATTTTCATGTTTGTGTGGATTCCCCATATGTATGAAATTAAATTGTTTTTTTCCCCTCCTATTTATCTGTCTTATATAAATTTAATCCTTAGACCAGCCAGAAGAACTTAGAAGGGTAGAGAAATTTTTTCCTTCCCAACAGCCTTTGCTTTGATAGGATGAGTGCTCATCCAGGGTATTTTATGAAAACAGGCACATGGGAGCACAGAGCTTTACTCGCTGGGATGAAAGACAAAGGAAAACCTCCTATTTCCACCACCAGGTCTCCTTCATGCTTCCAGGGAAACTTCCAAAGTTACTATTTTCCTTTTTAAAAAGAGAAAAACATATGTTACACAGGTATTAACCTACGCAGGTATTAACCATTATTTTTTTTCCCCCTTAACATTGAATTAGAACTAGCCACCAATAACTCGTAAAATACATTAAAGCCTTAAATTTGCATCTGTTTACTATTGGGCAAGCTGTTTACTGGCTGGGATGGCCAGTGTTTACTTGCAGGTACATTTATAATCGAATTGCCTCTTTCCCCTAAATGCGTGAGAGATTTACTTAATTACCATTGATTCTTTCTCTCAAAGGACTAAGAATTCAGACCAGAGCTTAGGTGTATAAGGTATTATAAAAACATGTTGTTGCATTTCCAATTTGGCTAATAAATTGGCTTTAGAAAAAAGCATCTTTTCATGACACTTGGGAGTAAAGCTTGCAATTTGCTGATGTTGGACAAAGTTGAGATTTTACTTTTGTTCAATTTTTGTCTTTCGATGTATGATTAAATACCACTTCCGATCAAAGGAACCCTCCCCCCGCCCCCCGCCCCACACACACTCATAAAATTCTTAGAGGACTTGAAAAGTACAATGTAAAATACAATTTCAAGGTGAAAGGAGTTAAATAAGTGAGCCTCGGGTCTGAAAGCTGGATAGATTATGCAGTTACTTTAGTTTGCCTGTGGAAAATTTTAGTGAAGCTGATTATTTTTTCACCTTATGCTAAGGTAGCAGAAAGATTGTGATACTTCAAGGAGAAAAACGATTAATGATTATAAATACATAGTTGGAAATAGAGTTTATACAACCCTAACCATACAGATTTATCTCACTGACCTTCTCTAATACTAATATAAGAAAGTATTGTCAGGAACTCTTTCAAAATATCTAGTAAAATCGTATTTTTCCTTATTCATTTGGAAAGGACTTGGTTTACGTAGAACACAGTAGGTCCCCTTAACTCTCGAATAGTCCCCAATCCTTCAAGAATGGGAACCGTCTCTTCACCCACGTCTTTACTCAGTCAGTGCCAGTAAGATGTGATAACAACCTCCAATCTTGAAAGTTCATCAGATTTATCAAACTTAGAGCTGAAGGGTGAAAACAAAACACTTTAAAAGAGGGTGGGATTTGGTTTTAGCATTTACTAAAGGGTATGAGACAACACTACAGGGATTCTCAGAGGAAAAGGAAATATAGTGAAAAGAGGATTTCCCCGCTTTGAATCACTTGTGATTTTCTGTGGCTTTTGCAGTGGATCTCTTGAGCCTGTCAGCTGCATGTGATGCCTTGGAGCAGCACAACCTCAAGCAAAATGACCAGCCCATGGACATCTTGCAGATCATTAATTGTTTGACCACTATTTATGATCGCCTGGAGCAAGAGCACAACAATTTGGTCAACGTCCCTCTCTGCGTGGATATGTGTCTCAACTGGCTGCTGAATGTTTATGACACGTATGTATGGCAAGCTTATTTTTCAGAGTCTGTCACAGGAGGCTTAGTTTACAGAACGGCGACGGTTTAATTAGCATCACAACAGGGCCCCAGTCTAGAAATATGGTCCTCTGGATGAAAAGTTTCATGAAGCTGTGTAACCTAATGCTGTCCCTGCGATAAATCATTTTTGTTTTTATGGGAACTGAAAAATATTTTGAGGTAAGAGCTAGAACTCAGATTGCTTTTAGATTAGAAAACAAAACCCTGAGATATTCATTTTTCAAACAGAACCAAAAAAATAGTAGAATGAGTCAATGCGTAGCCATTGGTTCTTTCTCTTTCTTGCCTGTGTATTTTGAATTCCTCCATCCACTTCAGGGATACTCCTTCTCACAGGCAGAAATGGATGTGCTCCTGGAGATGCTGGCACAGCAGTCACCGGATCTGAATAGTGTTAGCTTATTATACTCGGGAGAATTTTGCAGAAGAATGTGAATTGATAAGCCAAACAAAATGAAAATAAACCCTTAATGCAGCAAACTTGCTCTTCAAACTGAAGAAGTTTTGGGGTTTTTTTGATAAGATTTTACAAAGTTTCACTTTGGCATGTCTCTTCATCTCTCTGAGTACTTGTTTATTTCTTCGAGATTGTGCAGACAGGAGAGATCCCCCCAGTTCTGATTTTTGTCTTAAGTTTAATGAAGACAGTTGAGGAAGGAGGCAGAAGGAATTGGTCTTAATTTTTTTGACTGAATTCTCCTTAGACCTCAGAATTATTACATGTCTCATTTTACATGTCAACCAGAAATATCTCCATTTGGAAATCTGGGAAGGTTTTCTAAAAAGAGTTGCATATCAACTATTTTGCCTTTTGCCTTCGTTTTAGATTTCTATCACCTCCTGGATTAAAATGTATACCCTTTTTTCTTTTGTTATTTTGATAAGGTATTGCTTTGTAAATTCTAAGATCACCTGGCTATTGAATTCTGATCATTATTTACCAAGCCCTGGAACATACTGGATTTTAATTGTGGATGGCACTTAATTTGCTTTGATAAGGGTTTGTATTCAGGTCTTCCCTCAAATATATTTTAGCACCATTTCTTTTACAGACTATATATGAATGAATGGATTCTGGTATCTCACTTCCTTTCTATCTGCCTGAAAATTATTTGGGGACAATTTAATTCCTTGAGGACTGGAGTTACTGTATAAAGTTTATTTGTTAAACTGATTTGCTTTTTAAAGCGAGGGGGAAAGATAATATCTTCCGATGATAATTTTGTTAATGCATTAGGATCCAGGACTTCTGTTTGACTAAGGGATTTAGAAAATTGTACCAGTTGAAAATTGAGCATATTGTTCACCAAAAATAACCACAGTTGGGACTTATCCTTTGTCATTTCAAAGCGCTAGTTGAGAGAATTAGTCTACATTTTTTTAACCAACATCTAAGGTTCAGTTGTTTTCCATAACAAAATAAAAGCTGAAAATTATCGAAAGACATTTTTATTCTTATTTTTATTTTTTCCCAGGTATATAATGAGCTTGTTAATAAATTTGTCATGAGGAATGCATGATTTCAGCTTTATATGTAAACTGAAAGTGTATATATGTTAAAACATTGATATAAAAATAAAACATTAATTTAGTAATAGGTTATTTTTAAATTGCTCTTTAAGATCATATATTTGAATGCTCTCTAATAGAGTATGTCATGTTTTCCTGTGGAGATAAACATTTCTTATATGTCATGTGGCCTGAAGTGGTTAATTTTCTTTTCAATAAGGGCAATCTGATCAAAACTTACAAGAGTTTTGAAGAGGGCATAGCAGTTAGTTGCTGGTAATTTGGGTTGGGGAGGGGTTCAGTAACCAAAGTAGGTAATTTGCTTCAGTAACCAAAATAGCTTAATGCATAGTAGTAGTTCCTCCACTTACTTAACTTAAATCTGGGTGGCTCTCCATGGATGAATAGAAGGATATTTTTCCTGTTTTCTGTAGAGCCATGCTTACAGTTCAAGTAAAGGCTTTTAAAGATTGCAAACTTGGTAAATATTCATTGGTTAAATTGGTCAGATTTCCATCACATTCTCAAGTCATTAGCCAAGTCAATAATGAACTCAGAATAAGTTCTTAATCTTCATAAAACAGTGGTCAATAAAGTTCCCATATCCACATTTTTTTTTCTTAGCTGAAAAGTATTTACCATCTAAGTAAAGTGTCAGTAATTGTTTTCTGGTTTGATTATTCATAATAGGGGACGAACAGGGAGGATCCGGGTCCTGTCTTTTAAAACTGGCATCATTTCTCTGTGTAAAGCACATTTGGAAGACAAGTACAGATGTAAGTCATGTATATTAACTCTGTATTCTTTTATTAATGTTGGCTAATTACCCCCTACTCTAGATGGGGAATGACATAGTGTTCTTATTTGACAGCAGGTTCTTCATGTAAGATGTAGAACTGCTTTTAGGGTGTCATAAAACGTGGTTTGTGCTGTTCTCTGTCAGACAGTAAATTGCAGGTGTTTAAATAGAGAGTGAGGATTAACTTCTTCAGTCCGAGTATTATTTTAAATAACGTTGACTGCATCTGAATAAAACACATGTTCCTAGGGGATAAAGCCTGATTTCCTAACCC